CATTTTCGAAATCCAGAGAAACGATCTTTTACGTGCCAAGGGGGTTGTAATCCTTGACACGGGGCACCATTTAATGTCCCGTCCGACGGACTTAAAATTTAAAAATATGTAAACTGTTAAACGTATGTCTCAGACATGTGTGCAATTGAGCCGATGGAGATGAATAATCTTGTTTATTTTTATACCCGCACTCTTTGAAGAAAGTTCGGGTATAACACTATATTCTTCCTCAAACTTCTCCTATCCTTTAAGCAGCAACTCATTCATAATTTGGAATGTAATTGCGAGTGTCCTGCAGATGTGCAATAAGGTTTTTGAATTTAAATTTTCACCTTAGGAGCCAAACGGGGGTGAAAAATAATGTATTTCTACTAAAATCTGGTTCCCTAGAACTTCTCTTATATTTTAAACAGTAGCCAAGGTGATTGATGGTGTCCAGTAGATGAGCAACAAGGTTTCGGAATTTTCTCCCTGGCCGTCAAATGGGAGTTGTAAAATGACGTGCAAAAACAAAACAAAAAACATCCCAAAAAACCTGGTTCTCAGAACTCCTCTTGCATTTTACTCATTAGCCAAATTATCTTTTGGAAGGTATTTGCTGGTGCCCTGCAGATGTACTTCAAGATTTCGGAATTTTCATTTTCACCCGGGACGGGGGAGCAATTAGGGGTCGTAAAACGATGTTTCTTCTTCTTTTTAAAAACTAGTTCTAAGAACTCCTCTTACAATTAATTCAAATCATCTTTTGAAAGATGTCCTTTAGAAACAAGAGCGACAAGAAAGGTTTCTACAATGCTTGGACCTGTAGCTCTCTAGTTTGTCTGTTCAAATTTTCTCAACCGAGAGTAACAATTCTGCAGCTAATATATAGAGACAGACTTACAGGAATTATAATAATATATAAAGTAGTTGCAAATGATAATTTTAGTTCTCTTTGAGCTTTTATAATGAAACTTAAGGTAATCACTCTCTCTTACTTTAGAAATTTTTAGGCCATAAGGTGAAAGATCAATCAGTCTTTTCTTTCTCCATCTGCATCTTCATTTTTTAGGTTTCCCACTAACTTATTTTGTTCGTAAGGGGGGGGGGGAATTCACTGAATTTACTTATTACATAACAGTCATCCTCCTGGTGTGTCCGGTTATGCCTTCATAGAGGCTTTCTAAAATCACATTTACATTTGGTAGATAGAATCTTTCATTGAAATATTTATTTTATTTTATTGCTCAAGGCCGCATTAAAAGAATACAGTGAACCGCATATTTCCTAGATGAATTTTTCTTTGGTGGTAACATGAACCTTTTCACGGCAAAGTAGCAAATACCTGAAGACAAATCCCTAGCCACGGTGATGAAGTTTTTTTCTGAGACCCTAAATGCTTTTCAGCTAGAGTCCCCTTTTCTTACTCTTTTTATTGTAAATTCCCCATTAAAATAAGGATTTTGTAACTTTTTCTGTATTAACCTGAATATTCTCTACAAAATAAAGAAAACAAATTTATTAAATATAAAATTTTAGAGCCTTGGAAACATATAAAAATTTCAGGAAATTTAAATTCCCGCTGATGATCGAGGAGTTGGGGGATAAAATTTTGTATTTACTGCCACCGGGTAAATTAAAAAATGATCGAGCCAAGACGAAATCGCAAATTAATATAATTGATTGATCAAACATTTTAAACACATATAAATTTTTATTTGTTATATGTTTTCAAGGACATTCCGACAATGTCATAGAGCTGTCACTGTAATGTTCATCATACCGAAGTTCAGACCACGTTTGTTTATCTGTTATGTAATGACAATGAAATATGAAGATAACAAATGGTAATCAAGCTCAAAAGGCCATAAAAACAATACAAACCGGGAGCAAAGCAAACACGTACCTCTTGAAACATCAGAAGTAGGATCATGTACCATGGAGGAGTAAATATTCCCTGTCGACCGGTGCTCCTTGTCATGACTGGGCAAACGGAAAAATCCGTTCACAATTCAGTGTGAAAACAATAGCCTAACAATTTGTATGAACAACCTCAGTCAACATTCAACTTAATGATATATTGTATTTGCCGTATTTGCAGCCATATTGTTTTCCACTCAAACATAAAAGTGATGCTTTGCAGTTTTTATAGGTGTTAATGTTGCGTCCAACGACCCTACAAACAAACATAACAACTGGCTGCTTACGGGAAATCGACGTAAACTGGCAAGGGTACAATGAAAGGTTAGAACATTTTTTATTGCCAATGAAAATGAGAAAAATGACAAAAAGAATTCTATATTACTTACAGTATGTCGACAGTGGACAGAAAATGTACGGACTTAATTCGTAATTTTAATGTCCCCGAATAAGCCATCCGAGAAAACCTATACAGAGTTGAAAACTGATAGCAATAACTTTCAGTATTAACTGATAACACTCCTCCATGGCACCTGATCCCTCCTCTAAATTTTTTAGGTTTGTGTTTGCTCTGCTTCAAATTTGTATCGTTTCATTGGACTTTCGAGACTGAATTCTGTTCGTTATCTTCATATTTCATTATAAACAGTTGAAACAAAAACCATTGGCGTTCGCGGAACGATTATGATTTTACCAGAGAAATCAGGGAAAATATGAAACTGTTAGTCAATATATTGCTGAAAATCAGAAAGCTTACGGGGAATTCTTGAATCAAGCACTGCATGATCGTTTAGTGAGTGGTTTCTCATCAGTGGCAACCTAGCGGAAGCTATGGCTGAGAACAAGTTGGAGTTAAAGAAGGCCATGGACATAGCAATTTCTATGAAACTCGCTGAAAACGAAGCAGGCAAAAATAAAAGTTTGATGCTCGGGAGGCACATGGGCAAGAAACTGTACATAAAGTTATTGCCGTGAAAGTAAACCTTGTTTTATATATGGGACAAACTACACACCAGACAAGTGCTAGCTTTTACAAAAACAGTTAATGTCACACAAGCCAGGTAATTAGAATATACATAAAATGTGCTTGAAAAAGAAATCAGTGCAGCATGAGAGACAAAAGAAGACGTCAACGTTAAACGTTTATCCGTGAACCAAGAGTGGTCAGATGACAAATGTGGAAATGAACATTGGTCCATTTTCTCACTGTCTGAGAAAAGGAGGAAGAACCAAAGAAATGAAGATTGCTGTGACACTATACGTAGAAGTGGACTTGAACACTGGCGCTTCTGTCTCAGTGATTTTCAGTTCAGCTGCACAAAACTTAATTTCAGAACAAAGTAACATTGTATATATCCTAGTAATGTTATTCTTAAGGGCCCAGTCACACCTTATCGGATAGCGCTAAAGGACGTCAAACGGACGGCAAAATTTTCAATCCTTTTCGTCTACGTTCGCATTCGTTTCTTGTCCGTTTCTTATTCGGTGATTATGGCCAATGTCTGGAGAATTTCGTTTTATCCTGCAGAAATTTTTTATACAGGTACGATACATGTCCGATAATCGTTCGGTTTTTCTTCGTTTTAAACGTTTCATATGTTGATCACGTTATTGACTCAAGAGCCTCAAAATGCTGGGTGGAAAATTCTCAGCAACATATTACCAACGAAATGAGTTCTGTCTTCGTTTCTTCTTTCGTTTACCATCTGTTCGTGCTATCTGGTAAGGTATGACTGAGCCTTAAGACATAATCAGGAGAAATGCTAGGAGTTAAGGATGAATTGAAAGTATTTTTAAAAGTATCAGATGCAGCAGAAAACTTTAAATGTTGTTGTTAAGGGAAATCGACCAGCATTGTTTGGTAGGGATTGGGTGGAATTTATAAAAGTGGACTTGCATTCAATGCATTTTGTGCCTGAAGACTTGAAAAAGTATTCTTTTTTTGATAGCAAACTCGGATGTATCATAGGAGTGACAGTAACCTTAAATGACAAGAATTAAGTGCAACCAAAATTCGTCAAGTGTTAGAGACCAGTACCACTTGAATTGCGCGATTTTTGTAGAATTGGACCAAATGTCATGGAAGTTTATGACGCAACTTAATAAATAGACAGAACTAATACTGTACACAAAAATAGAGTAGCTGCAAAAAGAAAAAGATTTTTTTAAATCTGATATTCTCAGGAGAGGGCTACAATTCCACTGCATCTCCGTAGGCAAAATAAATTGTTTTTGCATTCAATTTACTTCCAAAAGACGGAATCTTTATTCACTATCAACATCATAGCCCTTTTTAGGCGAAAACCAAGTAAAACAAATCTGCGTGTTTACCAGTCGTTCTCTTTAGCATCCATGACAGTTCTCGCGTGATGTACCGAGACTTGCACTTGAAATTTAGAATCACTTGATAAAGGAAATGTCGGTGTTGATAAATGTTTGTGTTGTATGATATCACTAAACATCGATAAATAAAAGCATTCCATGTGATATTTTTTCATAAACAGTGATATTTATGCTTAAAATAAGAGAAATCCTAAACAGATCCGCTCCCTAAAATCCCGAATTCTCATTGGTTGTCCCAAAATACATGTAAAAATCGATCAAGGTCAGTAAACATGGCGGATAAATTCAAGTTGTGATGTTGACATACACGAAAAATAACCGATATCCGGATTGTTCTGTATATTTTTGGATCAGTTCATGTCTTGCATATTTACATTTTATGAGTTCAGATATGTTAATAAAATACCCACTTATTGATAATTTGAGCCGAAATCTGTGCGGGTGTGAATCACTCCTGCACTTGCACAATAACGGAGATCCTAAGGAGTTGTAGCCCTCCCCTCCCCCCCCCCCCCCCAAAAAAAAAAAAAAAAAACGGAGAGGGGTACATTATTGCAGCTGTAAATAGAGATAAGAAACATACCTGTGACTGCTGATGAAGTGGCCGCTGCAACAAAGAATGATGTGATATTGATGCGATATTGTCTAGTGATATGGAGTTTACCAGGAGTGATTGGCCAAATTCAGAACCTGACATAAACTTGTTACCATACTTTAGAGTATGCAATGAATTCACTATTGAAGATGCACTCCGATGAATCAGAATTGTTATCCCAGAAAAGTACCGATAGGATGTACTAGAGGAGTTGTTTTTTTTTTTTTATCCAGGAATGGTCCGGATGAAATCATCAGCCAGACTTCATGTATAGTGGTCTTGGTTGGTCTTGGTTGTGACCAAAGAATCTTAGTGTGGGTCGTTTAGGCTTCAGTTGTCCAACTTACAAAAAGTATAGAAAATCCCGATGTAGCCCAGAGAGAGAGAGAGAGATAGAGAGAGATCCCAACTAGTTAAAAACTAAACATTCAGTAAATTCAATCCTTTCAAACTAAAACAGGCAAGATTTTTAAAATTGAAAAAAAAATATTGCTATTAAAGAATATGAACATGTTTAACTCATCAATTTATCCCCTTAAAAATACTTAGATGTCAAAGCAGCAGAAAGCAATTCTTATTGCGTCCGGTTTAGTGGGTACAGGCTATGCGGCATGGAAGACCTGGTTCCCATGGATCGGAGACGATATCCAAACAATTCAAGCTACATTGAAAGCACTGAAAAAGATAGGTCAACACATAAGCCAAATGCGGACGGTTTTGGATATGTTTGAAGATGACGTGACAAGAGTACCAAATAAGACATTTATCATATTTGAGGATAGGCAGTACTCGTACGAATTTGTCGACAGCATGGCCAATAAAGTGGCAAACCTTGCTGCATCATGGAACCTTCCCCGAGATACGCCAGTCGCCATGATGATAGAAAACGAACCTGCCTTTGTGTGGACATTTATAGGTAACAATAGGACTGAAAAATGATTTTTATTTTTTAATAATAATAAAAACAATTGACTGTAAAACAAACCCTACATATTTGTATTGTAGGGTTGTGGAAAGCAGGATTAATAGGAGCATTAATTAACTACCACTTAAAGGCTCATCCACTCATTCACTCCATCAAAGTCAGCGAGGCACCTGTTCTCATCATTGGCTCGGGTATTGTTTTACCAAGCTATTAAAAGATGATTATAGTTAAGGGCATTTTAATTTTAATTTTAATTCTTTTTCATTGTAAGTTTCAATTCACAATAGGTGATGACCATCTACGTTCGATTGAAGAGATTTTGAACGATATACCTAACATTAAGATATACGTCCAGGGGAAACGACAAATCGACCTTCCTTCGAACCTTCTTTCTATGGATGAAGTTCTCCTTTGGACACTTCCTGTTCCTCTCTGTAAAGTTCACCGAGAGGGAACCACCATGCGCAGTCCAATCCTCTATATATATACTTCCGGTACAACAGGTGCGTTTATATGGTATTTTGATAATTTTTCTTTGATAATGCATTCAAATTTTAAGATTTTTAATTTATAAAATTCAAACATTTGTAGGGCTGCCGAAACCTGCCATAGTGAACAATGCAAAAGCTGTGATTGCCTCTGCGTACTGGCAGGCCTTTGACTATACTGAGAACGACATAGTATATGTTGTAGCTCCACTTTATCACAGCGTCAGTCTCGCACTATGTCTTTTTAATACAATTGAAAGGGGTTTGTAGGTTGTCACTATCTAATTTCCTGTAGAATCTTTATTTTACGCGAGAACTTTATATCGCCAAATGGCCCTAAGACGTCAAATTGCGAGAAATTGTATGTTGTCATACTCTGAATTCCATAAAATATTATTTTAGTATCTGGCTACATGTCACGTTTTATATTTAATAGGAGCCACTATAGTCCTCCGCCGAAAGTTCTCCGCCCGTCATTACTGGGAAGATGTGCGCAAACATAAAGTTACAGTTATACAATATATTGGAGAATTATGCAGATATTTACTTCGTGTTCCGGAGGTATTTAAAAAAAAGAGCAAAAACAATAACAACAATAATATATGATAAAGCGGAAATACAGTTTCAAATTTTTTTTTTTTGGTTTCAAAACAGAATGATCTTGATGGTGTTCATAATGTGCGTATGGCAGTGGGGAATGGACTTCGAATAGACATTTGGGAGGAATTTAAAACCAGATTCAAGATTCCAAGAATCGTTGAAATTTTCGGTGCAACAGAGGGTAGCGGTGCTCTTTTGAATGTCACGGGTAAAGTTGGTGCTGTCGGTAGGATGTCTCCTTTTATGGTACTGAGTATTTAGAATAGTTATGTAACAATACAAGATCAGAATTTGCTTCAAAACCTGATCAAGGGTATATTTTTCTTCAGAAAGCAGTAATATTCAGGAATAAAAACTCTCAAATGCACTTCATCAAATTCGACAACAGAACCGAAGAACCGATAAGAGATCAAAATGGGAAGTGCATTATGATCAAACCAGGTTTGTATATAAATCAGTGACTGTCTCAGGCTGTTCAAGACTGAGATTATTCCTAATCGGAACATATCTGTGTATTCTACACACCGATAGAGCTGCAATTCTGATTTAGCACAATGTAATGCTGTAATACCAGGGTTTTGGGGAGTTGAACCTTGGTCCTAAGTCCGTTAATTTCTTCTAATATTGCAAGATTTCAACTTAAAAAAACAATTTTCTATCATTAAGAAGCTTTACCAAAAATAGTTAAAATGCACTACTCTCACCTATATCTCATCAACAAGAACGAGTCATCATAAACTAATTCAGATACGAATATATACATGTATATGTTAACGTAAGAACTTGGGCTTTCATTTCTTTTCATAGCAATAATGGTGTAAAATCATCCTTCTAATCACCTCAGTGTACATAAGGTAAAGTTCAGTGGCGCATCGAGTCCCCCCCCCCCCCCCACGAAAAATAAAAATCAAAATATATAATTAAGTCTTAATGAAACGTAAGATTTATTAAAAAACTAGTATAGACTTATAAAAATATATATTTCCATAATAAGTACAGTAAACTGGAGAGCGGATGTGTTACTCCCCCCACCCCCTTTCCCCAATTTTTTTTCTTGTTTGCTCACTTTTTTTTATTTTTGCTTGTTTTTGAGTTGGAATTTTCTTTAATAAGTATTAGATCCTAGCTCAAAGGAAATGTTTTTGGATCCGCGCTTGGTTTCTTTAGTAATTTAACTTTTTAAGTAAATCCCCCAATGGGAAATCCTGGATCCGTCCCAGATACTTGTGTAATTTAGCTTTCATTGATTCAAATTAACATTGGATTGCTTAATCCCTTCCAGGTGAGATAGGTCTTGTCATATCCGGATTCAACGAAGAATTCTATTCAGGGTTTTACAAGGGCTCAAAAGAAATGAATGAAAAGAAACTAATCAGAAACGTGTTCGAGAAAGGGGATCGTTGGTTCTCGTTTGGTGACTTGATCTACCTGGATGAAAACTACAACGTGTATTTCAGAGACAGAACAGGGGACACATTTAGGTCAGTGTCGTAAACACCAACAGTTTGCCAATGTGAATGCTTGTCTGTCTGATGATAAAAACTGACTTGAATTTCAAACATTTAATATAAAAAAAGGTGAAGAATTTTTTTTATATCTGCTGGTGAAGAGGATTAATAATTAAAATGATGGGTCGAAAGAATTTAAAAGGGAAAATTAGATATGAGTGATTGTTCGATAAAATAAAAAAAAGTTATATTTTAAAGTTAAAAATATTTAAATTTGTTGAAGAAATTTTAAAATTAATAGTTGTACTATGTTTCATAGGGATTTCTGGGTACATTTATTCTTGAAAATTTCCAGATGGAAAGGTGAGAATGTCTCAACAACAGAAGTGGCTGACATAATAAGCCGAATTCCCTTTATTTGTGACGTCAACGTTTTTGGTGTGTCAATTCCAGGTGAGTGCTTAGTATAGTAATATTAACCAGTAACAGACTAAGAATTAAACTTAAAATGCTAATTCATTGTCAAAAAATATACAGTAATCTTACAAATGTAAACTTAAATACGCAAAACATAGCAATTAAGGTGTTAAGTTAAATACATTTTTTCAGCTTCTAAAACTTTTTTTGACCTTGCATTAGACTTTATCTAGCTTGAAATCTGCTCCACTTATTTAAATGTATTATTTAACATTGCCAACAATGCTATACAATGAAATATGGAGATAACGAACAATATTCAAGCTCTTAAGTCCATTAAAACAATACAAATCAGGATCAGAGCAAACACGGACCTCTAAAACATGAGAGGTGGGATCACTTGCCATGGAGGAGTGAGCATCCCTTGCCGACCGGCCACACCTGCCATGTGCTACTTGTCATGATCGGGAAAATCCGTAGACTATTCAGTGTGTAAATAATGACCATTAACTGGGTTATCTAGCATATATCTATACATTAGAGTACTGTCATAAATTAAAGTTAAAATGGTATCGTTTTTTGTCATTTCATATCCTATTTACATTAGTTATTGATTCATCCCCATGTACATTATTTCTGTGATCACTGTTATTTAAAAAAAAATGGCTCATTGTTCATGAAATGAAAATTTAAGTTTTATGAATCACCTTATGGTATTTTTTTAGTTATCAGTCCCCTTTAATGCCCCTATGAAAATCACAGGGTATTATCTTTCTGACATAGTTTTTATTCATTGGTAAAATTCTGTATTAAAGTAGTGATAATACAGATTTTTTATTGATAAATAGAAAATACGTCAGAAAGACAATATTTTAGTTTAATATTGTCCAATGCATGTACAATGTAGTACTAAATCGGTAGGGGAAAATTCTTTATATAATGTACAAATTGTAAGATAAAGTTAGAAGAGATAAAAACACAATTGGGCTGTCAAGTTCAATTCACTTTAAAAGCTTAATATTCTGAGATGTGAAAAGTTAAAACATTTACTTATCATTGTCTCAAATTCAACTGTTTTTTGTCAAATTGTGTTCTAATTACGTTACCAATAGATCTTAACTATATCAAGAACTTTAATATCAATTTGTTAGTAAAGAAAAATGAAATCTTACTATTTCCAGAGAATGTAAAAATTATATATATACGAGGGGTTATCAAAAAGTTCGTGGACTACCGTCATAAAATTAAAACCGCTTTAGGTACATCAATGAATTTTTACACATTTAGTTAGCATCATCTTTTCTATCTATAGAATAAACCATAAATCATAATTTTTATTTTTTAATAAATTGTTAGTGTTTTTGTAAGCAAAGGTATGTCCAGGCGGCGCAACCTCTAATATGACGTTTATTTCTATCTGAGTGTAACTGAGAAAAACTCTTTAGATATGAGTATTTGTCATCATAAAAATCTCGTTAATTCAGGCATGTGGTACGACACATTTGTTCAGTAAAATTTGCAATTTTTACCCCATTCTGTAATTTCTATGAAATTTAATCGTAAATTTTATATGGAGTGTCCAAACAATTATGGGCTTGAAAATAACGTCAAAAAGGGTGAGGGGTTTCTTTTTCAAACACTCTATAGAGTTTCGCTCCTGGAAAAACTGGTATTGACCTAAGGAATGTTTAAACTGGCTACAGAAAAATAAAATGCATCCAGAGTACTTGTTTTTTAATGCCCAAAAAGATTCAGAGAGATGAAATATGCACAGTTAGTGTCGATTTGTAGTCAGGGTGTCTAAAGTCAGTCACGTCGAAAAGTGACGTTGATCATGTGTGGTAGAAATTGAACTACAACAAGCTAAGTATTCTGGCATAATCAAGTGAGGAACTTTCCCCATATAAAGATCCATTTACAATATTATATGCATTGAAAACAGCTGCTCATGACATTGTAAATTCATATAAATAAGACGGGTTTAAGTCCTTACTTAACTCCATGTAATCTCATCAAGATAAGTGAATGAGGTAGAGAGAGCGGACATTAAGAAACAATGACGTTAAGCGGACATCATGACACTAAACGGCGACAGCGCCGGGTGATCACATAAAGTCTTTTTAATTTTAGAATAATTTGGCAAATTATCAACGTATCAAGCTAAAATTTTCAACATTTCTTAAACTTCTGTTGTTTTATGTTCCGCATAAATTTTGTAAGCAAAGACTACATATTATTAATTTTATCGCGTCAGTCCACGAACTTTTTGATAACCCCTCGTATATATATATATATATATATATATATATATATATATATATATATATATATATATATATATATATATATATATATATATATATATATATATATATATATATATATATATATATATATTACATGCGGGTATCCCCTCTCGCACTGAAAACCAAAAAAATCTGCTCCGCTGAGAACAATCTAGGACAAAAAATTGTACACGGAGACATATCATATGTGAATGATTAAATGAAGTATGAGGGAAATTTGATTTGTTGTTGTTTCTTGTTTTTGCACTTTCTTTGACATGAATTAAAAAAAAATGTTTTGTTGATTGGTATATTTTTCTGTGTCAAGGAGAAGACGGACGAGCTGGTATGGCAGCCATTATATTGAAAGAGAATCAGATCACAGCCGACAAACTGCGAACGATTTACTCAGTCTGTGAGAAGGAACTTCCGGTCTACGCTCGTCCTCTCTTTCTCCGTTTCATGCCGGAGTTCATCGTCACACAAACGATGAAGAATCGGAAGGTGGAGCTAGTGGAGGAAGGTTATGACATGGAAAAGGTCAAGGACCCGCTTTACTTCATTGACACAAAAAACAAGACTTATTCCCTTTTAACACTAGAAAATTACCAAGGTGCACTGTCTTCAAAGTTATGATGTGTCATCTAAGGAAATTTTTGTAAATATCCAGTATTAATTTCAAGACTTACTTTTTCTAAAATTTACATTTTTCAGATACGTGCATGAAATTCTACACAGTTAGCTACACATGTACATAACAAACTCGTTTTCATGCATATAGTAATGCAACTCAAATTTATGTCTCTTATTGTTTCAAAACTTAGTTTGTTAATAAAATGTAAATTTTACACAAGGAATAGTTGCCCTAAAGTTTAGTATTAAGGCTAAAAATATAACTACAGGTACATTGGATTAAAATATACTTGCATCCTTTTGGTAGATTTTTATTTCAAAAGAAAAAGAAACAGTCTGAAAGGATAATACATATGGCTTGAAGTTTGTCAATGTATTAAATATTTTAATAGAGCATGTATATTATTATTGCTGATTGGTGAATTATCTTAAACCTTCAACATGGTATTACTATTTAATGTTCTAATATATATATATACCTTAACCTGTGATTTTTTTTAATTTTATTTGGATAATATATATTTGAATTTACTTAAATGCCAATCAAAAGGACCTTAGGGTGGAAAACCTTTATTAATGTTTAATATAGCGTACATGTTTGTATATTTTCTTCACAAAAATAATTTTTGCTATCAGGAGTGCACACACGAACAAGTGTCTAATGCTTGAAAAACTGGCAATGATAACGATACTACATAAAATTTATTATAGGAAATCAACAACTGAAAACTCTCTAGACTGATGCTTCATTAACATAGCTGCCGAAATAAATCAGATATCAACCCACTAGATTTTTCAGACTTTCTTTACATGTATACATTTCCGCAGTGAAGTAAGTGGGTTTTTTAGGTAGGTTTATTAGTGGCACCACTCTAAATACTGCTATTTGTAATTTAAGAAATATAACCCCCTTTTCTTTTGCATTTAAAAATCAAAGTATTACTTAAAATCGGGATGATAATGTATTTTCTAACAGATTTTCATGTGGTGGAAAAATACCAGAATTCAGGTTTATTACCAGTGCCATTAAATATAATTTAGTGTCTTCCTAGTTTCCTTCATGATTGGTTAAACACCCATGCCAAGTTTTCAGCAAGACTAATCCTGAAAAAGAATTTTATAAATTAACTGATGCAATGATGTTGGTTGTGAAGCTATTGTTGAAGATGTTCAGTATCTGCAATGTTGTCTATGACAAGATAATATATATGTGATTGATCTACAATTTAAGTGTAAATAAAAAGGCGTGATTTTTGCTGGTGACATTGGACAATTAGAAACGACATTCTCCGTACCTAATAGTAATCATGGAGTTTTGATTTCAAAAATTAGAAAATTTATAATTATTAATTTATCTTGAATTTTCTTTTATTTGAGTTTTTCCTAAATGAAATTAGAGCATTCCTATGGCTTCGAAATAAACAAAATACAAAAGTCAACATTCTTTAAAAGTTTAAACAATTTTTTTTCTATACAATTTGAGGGAGTCTATTACCAACTAAAATCTCTCGTTTTAGTACTTTCAGTACTTTGATTTATAATTCTATACAAATACGTAATAAAAGGATTTTTGGCTTGAATACATCAACATTCTCATTATTTATTTTAAGAGGGCTGGGTGGTTGTGGCCATTTTCAGACTATATTGATCTCCTTTAGAAGAAGAGCTCCGTATAAAGATAAACAAAAATGATCAAATTTTAAAACTAAAACGTATGAAATTTTTGTTTGCCAAATGATAGTTGACAGCTTACGATATCATATCTAAAAAATAAGTTATATCTGATGGTTAATTTGTTGACCCCTCAGCTTCCTTAATTTGATAGTGCCAATTACATATTAAACCAAAACTCGATTTCGTACTTTCGGTACTTTGATAAACAACATCTTTACGTGTGTATGTCCAAGTAAGGCTTTGGGACATCTGAACTAAAATATTTGTATTCAGAGAATAATCACTAGAAAAACTTCCAAAGTTTGTAATAGGTAATAATAATCAGGCGCGGATCCAGGAATTGAAGTTAGAGGGGGCGCCAAAAGTAGGCAGGGGGTCTGGGGGCCGCCTTGAGGCCCCGGTATGGGCCCAGGGGGCGAAGCTTCTGGATTCTAGAGATTTTGTAGGGTAAAAGTGAGGTCTACCGAGTAGACAATTTTTACATTTTCTCGACGAAACTATGATTTAGGCTAAGTTTGACAATTTTAGGGGGGGGGGCGCCGGGTGCGCCCCCCTTAAATCCGCCACTGATAATACTTCTTGACTAACTTCCTTTAAAATTTCTATCGTAAACAAAGCGAATATATCTATGTATATTGTAAATGGTCACTGTAAATTTGGGTGTATGTGCATACTGCGCAGAGGTAACAGGTAAAAATTCACAACCTAAATTTTGACAGGTACCCGCTATATGTTCGTATCCTAACCAGCTTTTCTTTTATTCTTGTGATCATCAAGGTAAGGTGTGCATTGCTTAATATACTTGTGCATAATTCACTAATCAGACGACAGTGTATTGGTCTTGGGGGAATATTCTAATGTCTTTTATTTAGCCTCTTTTGCGTTCTTGGAATATCAACTTTCGGATTCCCATGTAACGGTAATCGTATTTCTTATTTTTATCAACATTAAAGCGTACCAGTCCTATTAGATAAAGCTTGTCTGCTAGTAACAAGTTCAAAAATGTGAATTTTGAAGATGTAGTCGGCATTCAACATTTTGTGCTAGAATTCAAATACTTTTATTTGCTATAGTTGATCACCTTTAATTCCTTTCAAAGTGTCCAGTAAAATTTCATCATATATGAGCACGCACTAAATACAACATTGATTTATTAGATATATCCGAAAAGTAAGAACGCTGCTGTTTGTAGATTTTGTTTATAGATAAAGAACGTCTGAGGAGATGGGTGAACAAGGCGTGCAGAATGCCTATAGCTTCAGATATATAAAAATCATATTCAGTTTGTGAATTTAGTATTTAGAGTGAAGTTCTCGTTATTGAAATTTATGAAATTATGGGGTTTTATTGTGTGACAACTACTATAGAGAAACTCTTAAATTTTATGCCATATGTACATGTACCTTACATTGACTTCAGTATACATGCCAAGTTTTGTGAAAATCTACCGTCTGGTTATTTTTTAGGGACCATCTCAAAATACAGGTACATTTACTATAGGGTTATATAGGAAAATACCCTTTTCTCGCACTTCGGAGCGAATTATACAAATGCTACTATAGACTTTTTGCTCAAATAATATTATTTGTTGAGTAATACTATATTGTACATTTTATGCAAGAAACACAAAATTCTACCGTCTGGTTTCCAGAGGGGGCATCTCAAAATGTCAAAATTCATGATATTTTCCTTTTTTTATGGAGTACTACAAAATATGACAGATACCACAGATTTACTTGAAAAATTATAAAAATGATTGTGAGATTCTCAATTTCCTATGTTCAAAATTTCAAGAGTATCTATATTATACTTTTTATTTTATGACATAACTAATGACCCCTCTTCAAGAACTCCGGTTATTCATAACGTCAAAAACACACTATTACGACTTCTATCTACCCATCATTTCAAAAATCGTTAAAAAAATCAGTTATTTAAAAACGTAATTAGAATTTTTAACCTGAAATTTCCTAAATTTGTTAATTTTTATAAATTATGTAACACTAATTGCTTTAAAAGAGTAAATACGCTTTATTAGTCCCCTACCGGTGAAACCGGAGGGGACTATAGGTTTCCTCGGAGTCTGTCCGTCTAGCTGTCTGTCTGTCTGTCTGTCCCACTTGTTTTCCGCACTTTATTTCTAAACGCTTACAGATATTGAGCTGATTTTTGGTATGTGAGTGTATATTGATAAGTTACAGTTCAAGTTTGAATTTAGTTCCGCTTCATTGATTTTTGAGGGAATTACGGCCCTTTTAATTTTCAAGGGTTTTCCGCACTTTTTGTCTAAACGCTTGCAGATATTGAACTGATTTTTAGTATGTAAGTGTATCTTGATGAGTTACAAATTAAGTTTATGCTACGTTCCGCTTCAATGATTTTTTTGACGGAATTACAACATTTTAAATTTTGATGGGAACCAGATTACACTTACCGGTAGGGGACTAGTATTGTTAATGCAATACTCTCAGAATGCTTGTTTTACAATGCTGCGCGAAGTATTGCGCAATGAAAACCCCAGTCGGCCCCCTTAAGTATGAGAAAATGATCCTTTTTGTTCTCTTCAGTGTGTGTACACTATTTCATAGGCCAATAATTTCAATCTTTGTTAGGTTTGTGCAAATTGTGGAGATTTACAGAAAGAATACTTTAATGTTAGATGAAATATCAAAGAATTTTTTTTATATTTGAGATTTAAGGTTTCAATGAGTTACCGAAATAGGAATGTGGTACCATTTTCAGGCAAATACTAGTATGGTATATAAAAAAGGCGATTAATGGCAAGTGTAATGCAAGCACTGTAGTATAAAATTTGTGGTCACATTTTTTTTGTAGTATACATTGTGTGTGTAAAGTAATAACAAAGACGTTTTCCATGATGCATTTGATATATATATGTATAATACTAGTATGTGTATGTATAACACTAGTATGTACTTATTAACATTTAGAACCTCTGAATTCTACCCAGGGCAAAAAAGGTTTTGGTTGATATAAATATTTACTAATTAGATAAAAATCGAATGCATAATACCACACTAGAAATTTTGAACAGCTTTTTTACCACGGTGAACAAACCAGTTTTGTACTTAACAAATATAAATCCTCTCTCTACCATCGGCTCATGAGAGAGGAACGAACAACAAATAGATGCAAGGGAGATTGATTTAAATCTGATTATCATTCTAAACATTCTTGGATTGGTATTTAATCAATATTTATTTCAAATACTATAACTCTGTAAACTATATATTGTAGAATTCAACAACATATCAATAAATCATATGAATCAAAATCTCAGTATTCCATGATGTATCTACATGTAATATTAACCACCATGCATCAATTATGCTTCAAACACTAAAGGGGGCCGACCCTCTGATATAAAAGAGATAACTCTCCAAGTAAAAAAAAAACATAGTTTACTCAATACCAGAATTTAATAATGGAGACCTTTGAGTATCCATTTCGATCAAAAATGACCTTTGCTAGAAACATTAACTCACATTTCCTTTTGCCTAAACTTTTCAAATTGTTTTATTATATTTGACCAAAAAAAAAACAAACAAACAAACAAACAAACAAAACAAAACAAAACAAAAAACAAAAAAAAAACCCATTTAAATCCAGTTTTAAAAGCATTACAAATTGAGTAAGTTCTACCGTTTTATGAATTTTTAAAATTGCTTTAATGTATCAAGTACCAAATTTAGAATTTTTATTAGTATTACATTTACAAGAAAGACAACTCTTGCTAATGAATGTATTATTTCCTTATATGCACTTATAACATTGTGATATTCTGACTTTAATAAAGCAGCGCTTTATAATATATTCTAATATGAATTTAATAGGTATGACACTAAATATTATTTTCATATACACCTCATATTTTTAATTTTATGTTGTAATAATAAATTATTACTCTTCCTATTCTCTGTGTTAAAATTTCTTCATATCATGATCTGACATAAAAATCATTTCTGAAAAAATAGGCAACGCTTCATACCTCATACTATTTTTCATTTGAATCCAATGCTATAGTTCTTGATGAAAATCAATGTTTGCTAGGTGAAAAAGAAAAAAAAACTTTGTGAAATTTAGAGCAGAGGGTCATTAGTCCTTGAGTAGTTTATAACCTTAATTGTACATGATAAAGAAAAAAACATTAATTTTATAACAAGGTGAAGACTAGTTGTGCAAAAAGGGAAATCAATTCTCAGTATAGTGTAATAATAATAATAACGGCTGCCTGTAGTTAACTTATTGTGATAAAGATTAAGTAATAAACTTAATGAAAAATATGTCGTATATATCACTATAAAATGTTACCCCTGTAATCTGCAGGTAGAGTAGCGAGAACAGACCAAATCTATACGCATGTTATATATAAAATAAAGTAATTTAATTCATGACCACGAATTTTATTTCGTGCCCACAAATTTCATTTTATGGCCAAGAATTTTATTTCGTTCTCACTATACTTGTTTTAAAACCAGACTGATTTTCATTCAAAGCATACACGAGGTCACAATTAAGAGGCTGAAAAATTTAAATATTTTAACGAAATTTCTCGATTCTGATTTATTTTCGTCAAAAGTAAGATATTTAACACTTCGAGAAAATAGAACACAAGCTTGTCTAGTCCTTTTTACTGGCTATGAAGACAATAGCAAGTATATTGTCCCCCGAGTCAGCAACTATTTCCCTCGACAAGATACGATCGAGACAAAGCCAGAAAAGTTCCGAGATGAAACGCGAGGAAGATCGAAAGTTGCTGATGCATTGTTGCAACAACTATTTCATCATAGGCAAATAGGACAAAAACTACACAAAAAACTAGAGGTTGTTTAGAAAAATAAAAAAAAATAATTTTTAAATAGAAAAAAATACATAGAGGGATAATACATTCGCCTATTCTCATACTGATTGGAAAAATCGTTTTCAGTTTCTTTAGTTTGGGACACAAGCAAACACTTTAAGAAATATCATGCAATTTTTGTGTCGCCTGCAGAGCAGAGCGACAATAGGGATCACTTTACCTGTGTGTCCATCGTCTCATACATTCACCTCTGTCGTCTGCTCGCGTATATCACAACGATAAGCTGGAGAAATAATGCGTTTGTTTTAATTCATTAAAATTGAATGCCTGCATGCACTTATTTTATCCTTTAGGGTAGATATTTACTAAGTAGATCTAGAACTATTAGTTTAATTTGAAAATAATCCTTCCAATATTATGTTGTTGTTTTTTTTACTTTATGTCAAAAATCTTAACGGGAGCCCATTGCAGAGGTGTCTGAGAGAAGAACAAACGACAACTTTGGTATTTCCTGTCTGTATAATCAGACAGGCAAGGCCAGACTGATAACTGCAGTTACTTTTTTTTGGGGGGGGGGGTGAATTAGAATATGCATTAATGAGATAAAAAATTATTTCAATTTCATTAATCACTTTAGCTTTGAGGTTTTGGGGAATCATGTCTATTTGATTGTCAGATTTTATATGATAAATGCTATTATATCGATCTTACTATCCGTAGATTTTTTATTTGCAGGCAAATGCCTGAACTATAATATTTTATAGTAGTTAGTAGCAAATATATAGCTGCCCCCCCCCCCCCGAGATTTATTTTAATCTTTAAAGATGCTATAAAGCAGGCGACACATGCATTCCTTGTAACACTCTACTGACTCTAGATAGTAAAAAAAATCATACAATTTTAGCGAAGACTAAAGCAAAATGTTCCAATTATCTGAACATTAAAATTGAATGGAGTTCGATTAGTCAAAGAATTCAAACTGAAAAGTATTGAAATGTTCCATTAAAAACATATTTAGTATTTTTAATTTCAAAATATTTTATTTACATGTAGATGTCAGGGCGACAAAAAGCTCTCCTTCTTGCTTCTGGAATAGGGGGTGCAGGCTATGCGGCCTGGAAGACATTTTTTCCCTGGATTGGTGATGATATCAAGACAATTAGAGCTATCTTGGTAGTTCTCAAAAAGATTGGTGAAAACTTTAGCAAGGTGAGGACAGTTTTGGATATGTTTGAAGATGACGTAACAAGATTACCGAAAAAGGCGTTCATCATTTTTGAGGATAGACAATACTCGTACGAATTTGTCGACGCCATGGCCAATAGAGTGGCAAACCTTGCTGCATCATGGAACCTTCCTCGAGATACCCCAGTCGCCATGATGCTAGAAAACGAACCTGCATTCGTATGGACATTTCTAGGTGACATATGATTTGTCTCGAGCAATAGTCTTTTTATATAAATATATTAAAACGTAGATTTTCATTAAAATACATAAACCATACCTTCTACTGTAGGTCTGCAGAAGGCAGGACTAGTAGGAGCCTTTATTAACTACCACTTAAAAGCTCATCCACTCATTCACTCCATCAAAGTCAGCGAGGCACCTGTTCTCATCACTGGCTCAGGTACATGCATTATATCCAATTAATACAATTAATTTTAGAAATGATTCAACAAGTAATTTGAGTTATCTTTCTTTCTATGACAGGAGAAGGCCATTTGGAGTCGATCCTCGAGATACTGAACGATTTGCCTGACCTTAAAATTTATGTCCAGGGAAAACGGCAAACTGACCTCCCTTCAAACTTTGTTGCTATGGACGACGTTCTTCTTCGGACTCTTCCTGTGCCTCTTTCTAAGGCACGCCGGGAGGGAACCACCTTACGCAGTCCCGTCTGTTACATATATACATCTGGTACAACAGGTGTGTACAACATTTGCTTTAAACAGAATTGCAAACTGTCATGCATATTTTCAAATACTTTTATGAATTTTCAGGACTACCGAAGCCAGCGATCATCAACCATTCAAAAGCCGTGGCTGTCTCGTTGTATTGGCAAACATTCGGTTACAATGAAAACGATATATCTTACGCTGTTACACCTCTATACCACAGCGCTAGCACCAATATGTGTCTATTCAATACAATTGAAAGAGGTATATATTCGCTTTCTTACTTAAGTACCTGGGGCTCTTTTTACAAGAGAACTTACAACTAAGACCAAACTGTACTTTTGCAAATTGATTTTATTCTTTACGGTGATAAAATTGTAATTTTATTATAAATAAGCAGAAATTAGTTATGTAATTTTATACAAGTATAATTCTACAAAATATTAAGTTGGCAAGATTTAAGAATTATGTAAACTTAATTTTAGACTCTGTCTTAAGTTCTTTTGTAAAACCGACCCCTGATTATCGCTTTCTATAGGAGCCACTATTGTCCTCCGCCGAAAGTTCTCCGCCCGTCATTACTGGGAAGATGTGCGCAAACATAAAGTTACAGTTATACAGTATATTGGAGAATTATGCAGATATTTACTACGTGTTCCAAAGGTACACTTTATAATGTTATTGAAAAAACTAGTAATTTTCAATATACTGGTTGTACAAAGTATAATATTAAGTGGAAATAAATGTATTTAAAACAGAATGATCTTGATGGTGTTCACAATGTGCGTGTGGCGTTTGGGAATGGACTTCGGATAGACATATGGGAAGAATTTAAAACCAGGTTCAAGATTCCGCGGATAGTAGAATTTTTTGGAGCAACGGAGGGAACTGGAAGCTTTCTGAATGTTACTGGTAAAGTTGGTGCCATCGGCAGGATATCTCCTTTTATGGTAATGTCGCAATTTAAAGGGAATTTGCAGTCAAATGAAAAAAAGTTTATTAATTATTTTCCGCATTTCCATGTCATACATGAGCAATTCTTTTATATTATTAGACGATAAAAAATTAATTTGACTTGTCTCCACAGAAAATATTGTTAAACATTGAAGGATCATTATCCATCTGTAACTCGTATGAATTTATGCTTTCATGATTTTCCGAAAGAATTCTAATAATTAAAATGCACACAATTTCAGCATAACTTGTGGGTCAAGATTTGACAGAAATTGCCTTTTAACTTGACATTTTTCTTTAAAAAAAAGTAATCATTTATACTAGTGAGAGTTATCTCTCAAATCAGAGGGTCAATGAGAGTTGTCTCTCTTATCAGAGGGTCAGCGAGAGTTGTCTCTCTTATCAGAGGGTCAGTAAGAGTTGTCTCTCTTATCAGAGGGTCAGTAAGAGTTGTCTCTCTTATCAGAGGGTCAATGAATCTCAATTTAAATTACTAATTTCCAAACCATTTTTAGTCAGATTGGACACATGTTACTTGAAACAAATCAGATTTATTTTTGAAAGTTTAGAGTGTTGTATATTGCAGAAAGCAACCATATTTCGGGATAAAAGCTTTCAAATAAATTTCATTAAATTCGACATCAGATCCGAAAAACCGATAAGAGACAAAAATGGGAGATGTATCCATATCAGACCAGGTTTGTACATTGATTGTCAAATTGATGAAATTTGGTGCCATAAAGACCAAATTAAGTTTGAGCTTAAGTCTTGATTTTCACACTTATTTCAGGTGAAGTGGGTCTCATCATTTGTGGGGTAATCGAAGAATACTACTCTGGATTGTACAAGGGTTCTAAGGAAATGAACGACAAAAAATTCATCCGAGACGTCTTTGAAGAGGGTGATCGCTGGTTTTCATTCGGTGATTTGATCTACCTGGATGAAAACTACGACGTATATTTCAGAGACAGAACTGGGGACACATTTAGGTTAGTGTAAGAAAACAAAACTTTTAATTTTTTCGCGCGTAAGGGATGTCCTGTACTAGACAGGTGACACAATCTGTCTGATTCAGTGATTCTATGAAAGTATTTTTTTAGTAGGCTAGCATACTTTCAAGATCTTTAATAATATTGTTTTAAATACATACTTTTATATAAAACTGGAGATTGTGGGAGCGAAATTCTTCCTTCCTTTTCTCTCCGAAGACTGTGACCTTGATTTTAACCTTAGAAAAAAAGTTAATGGCATAGTTTCAGGTTATTACCAACATTTATGTCAGCTCTTTAATGAAGTTCATCCTTTTTCATATTCTTGATGATCTTGTCCAACCGAACTTGCGTAAAATTTATTGCACGGAAACTAGCTTAACACTTCTTTTTCGTTAAGATTCTTTCTACAATCGACCTTTTTCTTAATTTTTTTCCAGAGACTTTGAAATTCCCAAAATACCTTAACTTCAAAGTTTTAATAACCTTAAGCGATTACAATATTTATGTCAAGTATGAGCAAGCAATGTTTTTGTTACCTATTTTTACACTTTTTTTCAGCCAATGAATGTGGAAATTCCCAGATATATATATGGATCTGCTTATGCCATGCTTTTTTGCAATTTTATGCATAGATATGAGATTTGATTGTTTCTAAAATACAAGGATATAATTCTGACAAAATTTGTGCATTCTACTACTAAATAAATCGAAGTTGTCGGAAAGCCTTTAGTGTCAAACGAAGTGTGTGTGTGTGTGTGTGAGGGTGTGTGTGTGTGTGTGTGTGTGTGCGTTACATCTTTTTTAGTTATAAGCAAATTTAAATAAAGTTTAGAAAGTTTAGTGTCAAATGGCTATGTTAGTGTAAATGTTAGTCATCCTCATCCAGGGTTCTCCACATTTGAAAATTTAACCATGGAGGAAGCTGCGCGAAGGCGCAGTGCGACCAAAAACATGAATGCACGTTAGACTTCCTAACCTTCATTAATCAATGATTGGTTAATTCACAAAACTTAACCACTTCAGCACAAAAAGTTGAAATAACCAATAATCAATAATTTTTTAAGCTAAAAAATAAAAATGAAAAAGATTATGTATCTTACTCTACAACTGTACCAAAATTGGTCCAAAACTGTAGAAACATTTTGAAAGAATTTCAAAATAATATTTTGATAGAGTAACCATGGCAACAATATTTAAAAACTGATATACAGAATTGATATGTTGCCTGTTATATGAAACGTTTTATTTAAATATGACTAAAACTGATGGATTGGTAGTAGTTTGAAAAAAAAAATTAATAGACAGACAAACGAACGAACGCTGACATCCTACTAATGCCTAAGCTTTTTTAACTGCATGGACTGTGAAAACTTACTGGTGGCATGCATGGTAAAAGTAACTTAGTATAACCAGGGGCATAAATTTGCATAACTGTAATTTTGCTTTCTCTATTCTGTCTTTTTCTAAACGTTCTTTTTCCTACATATTGCATTTTCGCCGAGTTTCCTCTATTGTTTATTCGTCCACGTGCCCCAGTGCTAATAATAGCGCCACACGACGTTTCATAAAAACGGGAGGTAACTCTAAAACTAAGACGACGATTGGCACTTGCGTACATTATATCAGAAAGATAATAAAGTTAATACCGGTACTTAAAAACAAAGCATGAGGAATTTATTAAATGCAAAGAATAGGAAATTTTGAAAGGGCTCATTTTTTTCTGGGCATAGAAATCGGATGCTTGTTGATTATCATGTCATTTTTTGTAAATCTGTTATCGTAAAGTAAACACGTTCATTTTTCCCAAAATTACATGTATGTGTACAGGATAATTAATTCTCAAGATATTGATCATCAGCTGATTGACTCTCCATTGTCACGCTTCACAGCATAGTCACCGATTAGCGGCCGTGTTTGTAAAGCACAGTCCACTTTCCCTCGAGGCATGCGAGATGCATGGCAGTCGTAGTATAAACACAATTAACTACTCAAGTAATTAAAAAGGAGGTGTATATACTAAAATGCAATAAAAATTTAATCATGGCGGCTGCCGATTTTAACCATGGCGCAGCTCGTTTAACCATAGCGCACATAAATTTAACCATGGCGGGCTGCCATGGTAAAACCCCTTGTGGAGAACCCTGCTCATCAACAAAAGCTTTAGCAGGATAAAGTAAAGGAGATGGGTGAACAAGGCGCGCAGAATGCCTATAGCTCAGATATATAAAAATCATAATCGGTTTGTGAATTTATTATTTAGAGTAAAGTTCTCATTATTGAAATTTATGAAATTATGACAAACAAAACTTTTCTAAAGAAAATTTTATCTGCAAAAATTATTTTATCATTAAAAAAATGAAGTGGTATTCGTGGGGTTCAAACCCCTAGCAATAAAAACCCTGAGTTTCATTTTCCTCTGAGACTAACACGCTAACCACTACGCTACACAGCTCTTGATGAATTGTGGCATTTAAATCAAGTTTGTGATATGACCCTTGACTAAATGGACCAAGTATTTCTCGAAAAGATGCGAAAGTTGTGTCATAAAAGTGTATTTTTAAGGCATAGTGGGTCTTTGCTCTATGTTTTTGTTGACCAAAAAATGTATATTTTTTTTGCAATCTTTGAGGGTAAACTTTGAAAAATATGGAGCGAAGACCCACTCATATCGAAAAATTGTGTAATAGTATTAGAAAATGACCCTTTTTTGGCCTCTCTTGTGTGAGTATGCTATTTCATAAGCAAATAATTTCGATCTTAGTGCAATTTTTGCAAATTGTGGAGATTTTACATAAAGTATACTTTAATTTAAAATGAAATATCAAAGAAAATATAGTTTTAATTGAGATTTATTTTCTCACCTTCATGTTTGTTGAACTATAGGCATTGCGCTCGCCTTGTTCGCCCATCTTCTTTCTACGAAGCTTCTTTCCTTACTCCTCAGGAAAATGTTAACAACAGTGAAGGAGAAACTTCAGCGTACTGTGCAACAGGACATTTGAGAAGTGGTGTCAATCAAATGTTACAGGGTTAGAAACTCCCTAAAATTACAACTCGCAAATAATTGCGAGTACCAAGAAAGTGAACTCGCAATTTTATAAGACTACTCGCAATTTTCATATTAAGTTAAATTAATATAAATTAAATACATGTAACTTAAGGAAAAAGTATATAAAGTTAAACTAATATAAATTAAATACATGTAACTTAAGGAAAAAGTAACTACTGTACAATACACAAAATACAACTACAGTGTGACTTTTATTTAAATTACTGATTTAAATCAAAAGCATTGTGTTCTGTCATATTATATAATTTTGCTACAGTTTCAATGCAAAAAAATCAACTTGCAAGTTTTTGCGAGTTACTTAATTTTTAACTCGCAATTTGGGAATTCTAACTCGCGTTTTGCGAGTTGTATATAGTGAATTTCGAACCCTGTGTTAGTCAGAAATATCTGACATTTTTCAGCTTTTTTCACGATTTTGATATTTTACGTGGCCAGGAAAACGTCAGAACCGGCGCCATTACGAAAACTGGAAATTTCACTGTTTCCAACCGGAGCTGATTTTCGATACTTGCGAACTGAATTGAGTGCCGAACTTACGATTTATCAGTAGCACTATGCTTCTAGTACTCACCAATATCGATGGAAAGAAAATATAACTCCACATTTCGATACAGGTCTTGCAAGATTTTAAAATGCACGAAATGAAAAGAAAACTCGACGGTCTGATAAAATGTTTTCACCAGACTGTATATTTTATAAACAAACCATAAAAACGATGTTGGTGAGTACTAAAGGCATTGTACTACTAATAAGTTGTGAATTCAGCATTTAATTCGGTTCGCAAGTATCGAAAATCAACCCGAGAATGCCGCCTCCAGTTGGAGGCGGCGAATTTCCAGTTTTCGTAATGGCGCCGGTTCTGACGTGTTCCTGGCACGTAAAATATAAAAATAGTAAAAAAGCCAGGAAAACGTTAGCTGCAGATTTGTAGCTCTCTGCTTGAGAAAATTCGGATAGACAAAGCAGAGAGCTACAGATCCAGTAGAAACCTTCGATTTACGCCGCCGCTTTTTTGTCGCTCGATTCGAGTATTATTTCTTGTATTTAATGCTTTCCCCCACTTTAAAGATAGTATCCGATAATTAACCATATATTTTACTCCTATTCCTGAAACTTTATTTACCTTTCAACGGTTCCAGACTTTAGAATAAATGCATTCCGACGTCGACGTTGGTATCATCCTGAAATAACACGCCCGAGTTTTCAATTTTTGTTTTTTTTAATCTCATTTCTTTTTTACATACATATTATATTCTTTGTAGACAAAATACATGATATTTGAACCTCCTGAATATTTTATTTACATTTTCTCGGCAAGTATATGTTTTTTAAAGACTTATTTTCGCACGACCCCTAATATGGACATCGGAATGGGAATTTTTAAAACCGACATTCCAAAACCATACCAGGGCTGTTTGAGACCGTTGAAAGGTAGATAAGGTATCAAGAATAGGATTAAAATATATGGTTAATTATCGGATAATATTTTTAAAGTGGGGGGAAGCATAAAATATAAGAAATAATACCCGAAGCGAGCGACAAAAAACCGGCGGTGTAAATCGAAGGTTTTTACAACGCTTGAATCTGTAGCTCTCTGCTTTGTCTATCCGAATTTTCTCAAGCAGAGAGCTACAGTTCTGCAGCTAGGAAAACGTCAGATATTTCGGACTATCAAATGAGGATACATGTACTAAAACTCCAAAGAACATTTAGAAAATTTGAAATCACAAAATTGCAGTAAAACGTATGACTTTACAACATTGCCTACTATATTTTAAAGACCATACGTTTTGACACCATAGACAACTACGGAACTAACAAATTTCATATCTTGTCATTTGGCCAAAACCATTCTGATTCTAGATACAAGTACTCTGAGGTTAATATTTAAAAGATGTTTGAGTTCCTCATTGACAATATTTATAGGTTTAATACTGGAAGAATGGTCTGCTAAGACCATATTAGGTTTTCCTCAAAGACAATATCGATGTAGTCTTTGGAGACCAGGTCTTCAAACAATCTTTTGGAATTCCTGTTTGCGTTAATTGTGCCTTTTTTTTATTAGCAAATCTGTTTTTGTACTTTTAAGAAGCAGAATTTAATTCAAAAACTTCTCTTGCTGTGCCCTTCATTTGACATTTAGGTATATTTTAACCACAAACACTGGTCCCAGCTGACAAAGCAGGTAACAACATTATCTTTGTTTGTAAGGCTCATTATTTTAATTGTATTTTAGAAGAACTGAGATTTAATTCTGATTAATCCAACTTATACCCATATAGCTTCCTTTCTTAGGAGGAAATTCTTCAAAATCATATGTCAGTTTTAAATATTTTTTTTTATATTCCCAACAATTAAAATGAATTTGAATTACCTTATATCTATACTGGATTCCTAAACTTCATAAAAATCCTTACAAAGATACATAGTGGGTTCCAGTAAATGTTCTACCAAGCCTCTTTCTTTACTCTTCACTAAAACATTAACAGCAGTGAAGGAGAAACTTCAGGAGAACTGTACAACAATATGTTCAAGAAGTGGTGTAAATAAGATATGAATACTTAAAAATTCCAAGGAACTTTTAGAAAATATGAAATCACAAAATTTTAGCAAAATCAATTACAGCAAAACGTAACGTACGACTTTTCAACACTCTACGAGGGTCATTAAATAAATTATGCAAAAGGTCATCTAAATATAGGAAAAGCATGTAAAACAGATTCTTAATACTTCCAATCCCTCAAAGGATTCCCTGTTAACATTTACACATGTGTAAAGTCTTTGTATAACCATGACCAGAAAACCTCAGCATACTCATTTAGGGATGCCCTAAAGACACTGATGAATAGCACTTTCCATGATATACCTGAAATTGTCAAATCTTCCTTTGATTGCTTTCATATGTTTTTGGAATAAAAAGATCTCACAATGGATGGGATCTAGTTAATATGGGGGATGCCAAAACTCTGTAAACTTTCCTTTCTTCAAATATTTTATTTATTTCTCTATCCTTATTTGCAGCAGCTTTTTTTAGGTGCAGAAAAAATACTCCGTAGACCGGTATTTGGGCTTGCTTTGCAGGAAATCTGCTTAGCTTTCCTGGTTGAAATTTTAACATTAACGTTATCATTAATAGTCCTTCCTTTGGCTGAATGTACGTTTTACTAGACCTCTTGAATAAAAAATAAATTTAAAAAACATATTTGGAGTGCTTCTCTTTGCAATAATAGGACGACAGCTTTCTCTTTGATTCCATATTTTATTCTTGATCTTGCTTTTCGGCTATAAAAAGTACACCAATGTTTCGTCATCCATCATTCAAGTTTGTCAAATCTTCTTTTTTGTAAGATTGTTTATTTTTAAGTAGACAATTGGCACATTTAACGTGTGTTTTCTCTTAAGCATTTGTAAAGAAATAAGGCACCCATCTGATAGAATTATTGTTAGATTTATTTCATTTGTCACAACTCTATAAGCTGTTATGGCGATGAAATGTTTTGTGTTTTAGCAAAGTCTATCAATGGAACTGTTATGACGATGAAATGTTTTGTTTTTTTAGCAAAGTCTATCAATGGAAATTTGGCATTTTCAGATATCACAGCATCCACAGTTTCGGTGCCCCTACAGATTTCGATCGACCACTTTGACTGCGATCTTTTAATTGTACTTTTTTTTCTTTTAAACCGAATCCACCTGAAAACCATACAGCGTGAAAGACTAGTCTTTCCACATATCAAAAACATATCTTCAATATCAGTTATTCAGCTATTTATGTAATGAAGAAAAGTTTTCACACACGCCCTCATTTTCATCTTCTTGGCAGAGATCATTTTTGAACAGTTTTCAGCTCAGTGTAGTGACCATGCTTACTTTAAAAGTGAATTCCTTTGCGACAACAATAGGAAAACGCATGGGGTTTTCTGTGATTAAGAGTTCTTTGATAGAACTTTTCAATTGCTCAAAAATAAAATTAAATACTTCTACATTTATTATGATAAACTGTAGTTGCATTACTTATTGAATGATCCTCGTAAACAACCAACTTCCCAACGATAAAAAAAGTCCAGGCTTTTTGACATCATTGACAGCTGCTTCATCAGTAAAAATGGAACTCGTAATTTTTTTTTACCTTGTCATTGGTCATTTACAGCATTATTGTGTTTAAAAACATTCTGATTACTTATGTAGCAATATTCTTTTATCCACTGCATATGAGGTTATGTCTCAGTTGATTCGATACGTAAGAGCATGCTCTACATACGAACAATTTCTAAAACAAGGCAAGCTATTGACAAACAAGTTAATGAAACAAGAATATCAACAGTCTCGTTTAAAGTCATCATCAATGACCTTGTTGCAAATTACAGTCTGTCGAATGTGGTTGACTGACGTTTTTCAAACATTTCATGCCGAATTCTCTACGGATTTCTCTGTTTACCTAACCGTGACGAAAGGCTCACAATTGGTGTGTGACCATAAGGGGATGGTACCTGATCCTACTTCCCATGCTTTCATGGGTCCTTGTTTGCACTGCTTTCTTTCTTTATTGTTTATGGATTATTTTATACACCCTGGAACTTTTTTTGGAGGCTAAAATGATTGAAATGCTCTGGTGAGGAAGAGATCAGACTTTCAACTCAGTGAGTTCAAGACGAACAATTTAATATATTATGTTCTCTGATCTACAAGCAAATGTTTGCCAATTCTTATTATCGGTATTAAGATTGGACTTTTAATTTGTAAGTAGAAAAAGGTTTTTTTGATTTTAAAAAATGTGGATGCTAATAAAAGATCTAAAGGTCTTGGCTTCCCTTCTTTTCATCCGAAATTTCAACGAGGATTGTATTAGGCAAATTATTTAAAACATCTTTACCTATTCAAGTTTGAGTTTCAACATCGGGTTTGTCTTATTACATGGTATATTTCAGATGGAAGAGTGAGAATGTTTCTACTGCTGAAGTCGCTGACGTTGTGAGTCGTATTCCATTTATTCGTGACGTCAATGTCTACGGTGTGACAATTCCAGGTAAGTTTCCAACATTTTAAATTGTCAGCGTTATTTATGGGCAATTTTATATCAATTATTAACGTTGCAGATTTGTTTCACATTGATGCAGATTAGTTCTAAAAAGTCCAACTTACTAAAATATTCGCATTGAAAAAAGCTAATCATCAACTCTTCCCTCCTGCTGCAAACAAGTGATACACATAATCGTGAAATGTGAAAGCTCTAGAAACAAAGTTCAAATGTTATGGCCAATGTTAAAAATTTTTAAAAGAAGGTCAAACTCCAGGGTCAAGATCAATGGCAAAATTGTTGGTATCTAAAGGAAGGTCTTGTCACAAGGAATATACGTGTGAAGTATGAAAGCCCTAACACCAACTGTTCAAAAGTAATGGCCAAGGTTAAAGTTTTTCAAAAGTAGGTCAAACTTTAAGGTCAAAGGATCAAAGTTGTTGGTTTTTAAGGGAAGGTCTTGTCAAAAGGATTACACATGTGAACTATGAAAGCCCTAGCACCAATTGTTAAAAAATTATGGCCAAGGTTAATGTTTGGTAAAATTTTGCAAAACTGGGTCAAAGTCCAAGGTCAAGGTCAAAAGGTCAAATATGATGGTACCCAAAGAAAGGTCTTGTCACAAGGAATACACAGGTGAAATATGAAAGCCATAGCTGCAGCCAATCAAAAGTTATGGGCAAGGTTAAAGTTTTTGCGGAAAGACAGACAGACGGACGGACGGACAGTGCAAAAACTATACGCCCCCGAATCTTAGATTCGTTCCGCTTCAATGATTTTTGACGGATTTACGACCTTTTAAATTTTTCACGGTTTTCCGCAATTTTTTTCTAAACGCTTGCAGATACTGAGCTGAGTTTTGGTATGTGACTTTACCTGAATGAGTTATAGATCAAGTTTGCTTTTCATTCCGCTTCATTGATTTTTAACGGAATTATGGCATTTTTCAATTTTTAACGGGAACCAGATTACACTTGTCGGTAGGAGACTAGTATTGCTAATGCAATACTCTTAGAATGCTTGTTCATTACTACTTTGGGGTTGGGAAAGCATTTGTGATATCACTTCATCAATTATTATCGTACTAACTCTTAATTGCAAACAAATTATGTTTTGAACTGCATTATAAACGTGGACTAGTGGTTCTCTGGCATGAGGAAGTCTTATATTAATTGGAGTTTGTCGTTCATTTAATTTTATAAAAATACTATTTTTGCAAATCAACATTAATAAAGATATGATTTGAAACTAGTTCATACCCCCATTATGGTTTTCCTCCATTATGGTTTTCTCTGTCAGTGACATGTTTTGATCTTCTTTCAATATCAAGGTGAAGATGGGCGAGCTGGAATGGCGGCCATTCTTCTAAAACAAGAAAACGACAAAATTACAGAAGACAAATTGCGAACAATTTACTCAGTCTGTGAGAAGGAACTTCCGGTCTACGCTCGTCCTTTGTTCCTCCGCTTCATGTCGGAGTTCATCGTCACACAAACAATGAAGAACCGCAAGGTGGAGCTAGTGGAGGAAGGTTATGACCTGGAAAAGGTCAAGGACCCACTGTATTTCATCGACTCAAAAAACAAGACTTATTCTCCTCTGTCTCTGGAAAATTTCCAAGCTGTAATGACTTCAAAATTATGATGTGTTTGAATAATTTAGTGGTATCCACTTTTTTTTCAAAATGTGATTCCTTTACGAAGAATTATGTTTTGTATTATGCATCCAACGTTGTTCTTGATTTCAGTATTTCAGATAATATTTAATGTTGATGTAATCTTTTTATTTGGAAGTTAGTCTCATACTTCAATACTGTTTTGGGTATCAATTTAGACTGTCTTAATTAATTATCTTGAATACCAATCAATATACACGTTTTGAAGATTTTTATGCCTTTAAGAAAAGAAAAATAAACTGTCCGTCCGAAATGAGTTTTTCTCTATATCCTCAAAAGATTTAAGTATTAATGATAAAAAAAAACACAACTAGCTTTTTTTATTTCCTTTTGAAGAGTACCATTAAATTTATACATTTTTACATATATGTGTTTTTGACAAACTTAGTACTTCTTAGAAAACTTTCGTAGAGCAGAGTATCTATTATTACCTTTTTAACATGATGTGTCCAAAGGAATTTTTAAATCGATGTTTCAAAAGAGTTCAGGGGATTACCGAGTAAATTTTCAGGAAAGGCACTGAAAACAAATCTCAGCAAACTCTGATAATTTGCATAACAAAATTCAGTTTGTTTTGTTCTTATTTTAGCATTTTTGCACCCTAGTATTTCTTTGATATATTTCACAGTAATATTTGAATAAGAAAGTTTAAGTACGTTTGTGTTATTCATCCTTAAGATGAAACAGAATGGTTGTCAATTTTTTGTACGAAGGAAAAGTCTGAGTACTTATTTCGTGCGTTTAAATTGCTCCTAAATAATTAATTTGGAGAGTAGTTGTACACATTAACATTATATTCTACTCATGTTGACAAAGGTTTCCTTTACTACCATTGATTGGATAACGATTGAAAATTCAAAACTATAACAAAAACTCTCAGCGTTTTTTTCCAATATTTCCAATATTTCCTTTAAAGAAATCCGCGGAATGATATAAAATGTCCGATAGCGAGATAAATGGCCCAACATCCCCATGTACCAATCAGGTGAAATATTGTAGGACAGAACTTTAAGTCCCTATATCATCATTTGGGCTCTTTATGTTATTAGTCCCCTACCGGTGAAACCGGAGGGGACTATAGGTTTCCTATAGGTTTCCTCTGAGTCTGTCCGTCCATCTGTCTGTCTGTCCGCTTCATTGATTTTTGACGGAATTATGGCAATTTCAATTTTTAATGGGAACCAGATTACACTTGCCGGTAGGGGACTAGTATTGCTAATGCAATACCCTCAGAATGCTTTTTTGTTGTTGTTTTTTTTTTTTTTTTTTTTTTGTTGTTGTTGTTTTTTTTTTTACATTTCTTGTTCTTAAATGCCTCAAAAGCCAGAAATTATTTCTTTCAATTAAAAGAATTGACAATTACCATTACATATTTTAAAACCCCTTATGTAAAACGTCCACCAAATGTTTTTATTGTGGAAAAAGTGTCCTGTGTTTACTTATATATGGCTCCTAATGTCTGACAATTACAACCCCCTTGGCACGTAAAAGATCTTTTCTCTGGATTTCCAAAAAGAGTAGGCTCACTGGGGGCCGCCAGAGAAACCAAAAACCTTTCAATTACCGGTCAAATAAACTTCATTTTTCGCCGAAATATGGCTGAAATATTGCCGACTCGGCAATAATCAATCAATCAATATTATTTATTACCACACAAATTGTTCGGCTTGTATGATTTTTCATCCTTTTCCCAATTGACACATTACGCTGTTATATTCTCCTTGCAACAAAGTTACAATGGAAATATAAGTACATGAAGCACTGTCATGAGGTGCATTCCAGCATCCATATCTATGCTGTGGACACAATATAGAACTATCACTTGACCTCTCCGTCTCATGCTTGCCGGAGCAAGAAGATTATTGATTCCAGGGTACAAAGGTAAATGACAAAGACAGTATACCAAGTTTTGTAAACATATCACTTGGTCTATCAATCTCATATTTGCTACAGAGATGCATGGGGCCAAGAGAGGAACTAATTTCATTTCAATTGAGTGGCAGTGGTTGCTTTTCCAAAGAACACATGATTACAAAAACCCAGAAAGACTTGGGTATAGACCAAAAATCTTTTGATTGGGCAATCTTTAAAATAATGTTTGTTTGCCCTCTCCCGACTCAGAATAAATAAATGGGTCGGTGGGTAGGTGGGAATTTATTTTTTTTCTCAGAAAATTTTAACATCAGTGAATTTTCAAAATCTATATTCCGGAATGCATAAAAATAATTGTTTTCTGAGGTTTAAAAAAGCTTTTAGTCGGCCATTTTTAGCCAGTCGGTCGGGAGAGGGCAACTGTTACCAATTTTTTTTCAGATGGCCTTGGCTGTTTTTTAAAGACTGGAACAATTCCGTTCGCGCACGCTCTACATTGAGTGCAGAGAGTGCGCGAACGGTGTGTAGGTTGCACAACAGTATTAAATTTTGCTATATATTCTTACAAAAATTGCGCAACTTTGAGTAGGTGGTATTAATTGAAAACAAATTTTTGAGAAGTTTCCTTTTCAGATCTTGTAAAACAATTCTTTATAAAGATTTTAGTACCAAAAAATACATAGCCATCCAGCAAGGCACGCAAGTCTTGTTTCGGTCGAAGTCGAGCAGGTGCTTGAAAATCAAGTCCAGGACCTAATCACTCCCCACTCAAATACAGTATATAGAAAAATCAGCACGCCCTAAATTATAATGAATCTAGTCAATACAGGAAGTTTACATATTGTTTTTCATCTCATAAAAAAATTCAGCTCCAGTCTCGTGTTAAAATGCCAGAATCAGAAGGGAAGATTCAGGAATTTTTTTGCGTCAGCCATGATTTGACGTGAACCTCAAGTGAAATACTGTTATGACACCTGCAATTAAAATTAAAATTTTTGCTTGCCAGTATAATGCTATTTTCCCGATCTGTAATGAATATTCAATGTAATAAAGCAAGTTTCATAAAAATCCGTCTCAAGGTAGGAAAAATATTGGCGACACTCGGTGACAGGGGTGTTCGCGGTGAACACGGATTTCTAAAAATATGGCAAAAGTTGAACTGCATGTAATGATCTTGCGCGATGAACTTTTGTTGTTTTTTCGTCTCAAATTTTTAATAAATGCATACTGATTCACATAAGGATTAAACATTATTTGAAATATGTTTGCTTTTTATAACAGGGCGAAAGAAGTAGTCTTTGTCATTAGGAAGGTGGGTGGGGTTAAAAAGTGCACTGAAATAATACATATTATTGAACTATCATGGCGTTTTCTGCTTAATTACGATTGTTTTGCCTAAATAATTCTTTTTTCTAACCAGATTTCTTTATCTGTTACCACTGTGTACCAAATTAACCGATATTTACACATATTCAGAATTTTTATTTTACTCCGGGTTTAGTCTAAATTCTTTAAATTTAAAGATTTTGAAATTGTTTATGAGTAAATAATGTTAACGAGTGTGATGGCAAGGTATTTGTTAATGTGTCCTCCAATTTTCATGCATTTCTCTTAACCCGATACATCGAAATCAGGCCCTTGTTGGTCAAGATAAATTATGTTAGAGGAAATCTGGACCAATTTTCTATGCTCCATTAAACGCGAACGAACAGCAATGATGGCCAAAAAATGCCATTATATCTCATTTTCCGTCTAAACTCACGAAATTAAACCTTAAATTAAAGACTACAATATTTCAAGTATAAAATCTGGTTTAACTGCAGGTTGCACAACAGTATTAAATTTTGCTATATATTGTTACCAAAAATGCGCAACTTTGAGTAGGTGGTATTAATTGAAAACAAACTTTTGAGAAGTTTCCTTTTCAAAATTTGTGCCTTGTGTCGTTGTTAGAATAAGTAAAGAATAATAATACAATTCTTGATTTTTATGCCCGGTATATATAGTTTTTGCCCTTTCCGTTCGTCTGTCTGTTTGTCCGCATAAACGTAAAACCTTTCTCATACCTTTTGATTGGTTGGAGCTATGGCTTTCATATTTCACATGTGTATTCCTTGTGACAAGACCTTCCTTTTAGGACCAACATATTTGATCTCTTAACCCTGGAGTTTGACCCTCTTTTGCAAAAATTTACCCAACTTAAACCTTGGCCATAGCTTTTGAATAGTTGTTGCTAGGGCTTTCATATTTCACATGTGTATTCATCGTGACAAGACCTTTCCATGAGTGTAAATATTCTTTGACCTTGACCTTAAGGTTTGACACACTTTCAAAAAACTTTAACCTTGGACATAACTTTTGAACAGTTAGTACTAGGGCTTTCAAATTTCACAGTTATGTTCTTTGTGACAAGACCTATCTTTGGATACCAACAATTTTGAACTCTTGACCTTGGAGTTTGACCTACTTTTATAAAACTTTAACCTTGGTCATAACTTTAGAACAGTTTGTACTAGGGCTTTTATATTTTGCATGTGTATTTCGTATCACAAGGTTTTCCTCTGTGTACCATTAATTTTGACCTTGACCTTGGAGTTTGACCCAATTTTAGAAAACATTAACCTTGATTATAACTTTTGAATGGTTGGTGCTTGGGCTTTCATATTTACCAGCTTAATCCACTGAAACAAGTCCTTTCTTTGGGTAACAACATTTTTGATCTCTTGACCTTGGAATTTGACTTAAGAAACTTTAACATTTGCCATAAGCTGTCATACGGGGGCATCAGTGTTTCACAAACACATCTTGTTGATTTAACTTAGGCTACATATGAATGAAAAGTCAATACACTGCATGATTGTACAAAATGGTGCAGCCATTGAATGATGATTAAACCCTGCTTCAATTTTTATCAACTACAACTGGTATCGTTGATTAAACAGACGTTTTTTTTCAGTAAAGATAGATGGAAAATGAAATACATTTGAATGCCAATACTCGTTTTGGTTTTATGTGTTACATCTCCGGGGAACAACTATACTATTTAATGTGAAGAAAAATATTTCACCCGATTTTCCCCCCAAATAGAATGCAGAAAAAATGGTAGTTAGACTGTTATATAATGTAATTCCCACGGAATACAATGTATGCCCTTCGTATCTTTCAACATTAAAAATATTGAAACCATCGCATTTCCTGAAACTGATCACAGAGTCGCATAGTTATATTCAGGAGCAGGGGGGAAATTGTCACTTACTGTCATGATTTTCATTCCTAACGCTTACGACAGTTACGGCAACTCTTTCCTGCCATTCAATTTCGATTACTGTTCTTAAATTTAATATTCTATGTGACAATCGCTGACTGTGAACACTGTGAAACAGCCCAAATAAATAAATTCATCTGGACTTATCTGGAAAAATGTTCGCAATGTTTCAATTTC